TTGTAAATGTTTCACTTTTGTAATTCCTTTTGCACACCAGTCCTTAAAGAATATTGGTTTGTTTGCTATTCTAATTAGAGAGTTGTGCCATAGGCTTTGTTCTTGAAACTGCACCTGGGATTTTATTTGTTGTTCTTTGTTGTTTGTTGTATTTTGTTTCCAGGTTGCTTTTTAGCAAAGTTAGATTTACTGAATTGTGTGCTCACTTAAAATCCATTTCCAAGTAGCCTACTTTCGTCTCCGCTCGTAAAAAGTACAAAAATTGGACAAGTGATGGATAAAATACACCAACCTAACAGACTAGTCTTCTAGTCCTGGGCCTGGTTGTTCAAATTAAAGGCCAGATGATGCTATCTGCCTTTCCCTAGTGGCATGTATCTCTCCATACACAAACCAACCAGTCCTCTTTTTGCATACTTTAATCTCCCAGAGCATCTAACAAATTTGATGCTAAAACACACCATGAATTTTTATAGAAATAGCACGTTAACTGTCCATGGTTAAAACATGGTGTCTAGAAAAGTATGGTTTGTGACTGGGATATCTTTCAGTAAGTGAAATGTGAGCCATTGTCTTATCCAAATGAACAGTGCTCTCAAAATTCAGCTTTGAATGCTAAGGATAGCATTATCCACTCTTTGAACAACCTTGGTCTGCTTCATCAGAATGGACCCTCTTTCCACGCCCTGGCCTTTATGGTCCAACCCATTTTAATTAACATCATTCTTGTTGCTTTTTATGTACATAACAGCATAGACACCACGGATCATCCATCAGTCTGGACAGGCCCCTTAAGTTGGCGTCAGTTGATCTGGTGGAGGCAGAACACCCTTATCGCAGTTGGGTGGGACACCATGACTCAGAGAGACATTCTTTGTGAAATCGAAATTTTGACAGAAAATGATAACAGCAGAATTGTCATCAGGTTTGAGTTACCATTTCTATTTCCATTGATCTTTTCTGGACCACTTCTTTTTGCTCTTGATTGATTAAATGAAAGGTGAAAACTGAATTGGCAATGTCCCAGTTGATTATCAAGAGTTCTCTTTCCCAACTTCCATGTTATAGTGTATGTTGCAAGATGCCACCTAATTTACATATAAATTGATTAAAACGATCCTACAGAGCCATGCGCGGAGTCCCAGGGGCAGTTAGCCTTTGTATTAGAACACACGAAATGGATTGTGGATCTATTCTCTGCCGATTAGGCAGGAATAATATAAAGATGTTTTTCTGCCCAATAATTCGCAGAGCTGTTACGATTTGGTGCGCTAAGACTCTGTCCCCAGGGGCTCCTTGCTTACTCTCCAACATTTCTTCGCCAAGTTTTCACCTGTCACTTTGACTTTCTCTCGCCTCCTGTAACTGCCCCTGGGTCTCCTAGGATGCTACAGAGCCAACTAGAACAAGGATTTTGAGGAATACATTCAGGATTATGCACAAGGATCGAAGTGGATTACACTTGAACAAATTTGGCTTCATGAAAGGATGTTAATAAAAAAAAATAATAATAATAATCTATGATATACAAATCAACTTCCATCCCTGCTGTGCTGCCCAGGGCTCTCACTTTGAAGGCAGTGAACAAATTAAAAATGTGAGCAGGAACTGGAAACGAGGCTCTCAACCTCCCTCGTGTTTCTCTCGCTCATTTGTATTTTTTCTGTACTCACTTCATTTACATGTACATAGTTTATTTGGTGCAAGCTGAGCACCCAGAACAGACTTACTCTGGTCAGATGTACGACTCAGTGCTCCTTTTCTTTGCTACTCAGGCACAAAACAGAAACAGACCAGCCAGTACTTCGCTTGTGTCTCAGCCGTCACTCTGAATCTGTAGTTGTGGAACTCCTGGATGGAAACTTATTAAGATACACCTCAGGTATTTAATACAGCACATGAAATGTTTAATCCTTGTGTAGCAGCCTTTGAAATCTGTCATCATCGCATCTTTTATTAAATAGGCTCTATTAAGTTTTAGTAGAATTCTACTTGTATACCAATACAAATACTGCAATCTGATTGGCTGAGCTCTCATACACTATCAACCACTACTGTGCAGTGGCTGGAGTTCGTCTACAAAATGGCGGCGTTTTCTTGTTTTTCTGAAGGTTTTTTTTTTTTTTTGATGATTTAAAAATGTTACTGGAGAATTTACTTCCAGAGAAGACATGCCCTAGGCCATATCAACTATCACCTTTAAGTATAAATCTGCTAGAGTTTTTTTTTTTTTTTTTTTTTTTTAATGCCGTTTTTATTATTGGCTAGGCTAACCACTATCATATCTGTTTTAGTATGAATCTACTAGCGTTCTATCACGAATGCCGTTCTCTGATTGGCTGCGCTACCCACTATCTATTCTGTGATAGATAGTGAGTAGCGTAGCAGTATGCCGCTGTTAACAAAATGACGGCCGCTTCTTGGCATTTTCAAAGTGTCTGTGAAGAGGATTTAGATAAAGTTTTGAACGACTAATAGATCTAGACTAAAACAATTAGATTATTCGCTCTCGATTTCTATCCGTGATACATGTAGTTGACTCAGGCTGCGCCCTCGTCAACTATCACGCGATAGAAATCTCGAGCTCGTAATCTAATTGTTTATTAGACAGTGAGTAGCCTAGCCTGTTGTAGATAGTGATTGGTTTGCGGTTGTAAACAAAATGGCGGCTGCTTCTTCGCCTTTGTAAAGATGATTTAGGTAAAGTTTGAACAACTAGTAGATTTATACTTTAACAGGTAGATTATTCATTCACGATTTCTTTGAGTGATAGAAATCTCAAGCTCATAATCAAGAGATTATCAAGGTAAGAGAGTGAGTCCCCCATATAGGCCTTATACCCAAGGTAATCCCTCTTAAGTTATTTGTAGACATTGTACCCAGTTCTTCCGAGGATTTTACTCGCGCGATGCGTGGACAGTCCAAGCGACTTTCCCGAAACTACCTGAGACGAAATGGCGGGGAAATTTAGTGAAAATTCATTTTATATGTTTTGTTTTTCAAAAGACGTTTCATAGCAGAGATGTTTTTTGCGCTCTCCGCCGCCTTTTTGTTCGGCAGGGCCTTCGTTTGATTTGCGCTCATTTGGTTGTTCATTACTTTGCCATTTATTCTGTTTTAGGGAGTTCAATAAGCAATTTTTAAAATTCTTTTTCGAATTTCGGCGCTGTCTTACATATTCTCTTTGCGATATTTCTGACAGTATAGACAAACTGAATGAATTTAAATTCTCGCGAGACTCGTAGGTTGAATATAAAGTCGTTTATTAATCGACGTTGTCTTTGGCGTTGTTGCCGTTATTGCTTAAACTGCCTTTTGCTGCTTGGGTGGCGAGCGTCTGTCTGCACTTGCGACCATCTGTTTTTTCAGTTACGTGGTGTTCGGAAGTTTGTTTGCTTTGCACTCGTTTTTCTACTCATTTCTCTGCCGTTCATTCAGTTGTTATTGCTTGTGCAGGGGACATCTGTCTCTTATTTAAACTCCTATTAAAGTTTCGAAACTGTGACATAGCGAGGGCCGGAGCTCCATTGCTTGTAATTCAGATTAAAATATCAAAGAAGACATCCCCACAGCGTTGGAGATTTTCCTTCGCTTTGAAACGAAACGAAAAGAAACTAAACATAAACAAATCCTCCATGAAAACAGTGATACACGCAACGCGCGAGTAACATCCGTGGAAGAACTGGGTATCATGTCTAAAAATAACTTAAGAGGGATTACCTTGGGTATAAGGCCTATATGGGGGATTCTCTCTCTTACCTTGATAATCTCTTGCTCATAATCTAATAGTTAAATAGAACACTCGAGCTCACATTCTAATGGTTTAATAGAAGTGCGGCTTTTAGATCACGCTTTCTCACAGGGTTTTTATTATTCCTTCTAGATACAAACCAAGCTACTTTCTCTCCATGGACATCTAGTCGTGGAGGCGAAGTTTCCCTCCCTCAGCCCTGCCAGTGTTTGAAGACAGCTTTAGTGGGAAATGAGGTTTGTACTCATTTCTGTTGGAGGTATAAAACGCTATGTTCGCCCCTTTTCATGTTCACTACGTTACAAAACGGAAAAAGTGTCTCATTGAATAATATTTTATTGATGCTTGCGTGACGTTGGGGTATAACTTCATTTACGGTTTGGCTTCGGATTGCGTGTGTTGTGGTGTGAAAGAGGCCAAGAAGAACGCGCTATTTAATTTCTGAAATCTTCCAGACGTTTCTAGTAGCTGGCAAATTTATATCTCTTCCTTCTTGCCAGAGAAGACTTGTCTGAAACTCTTTAATTTTCAAGATAGGCGGAATTTTCAAGACATAAACAAAAGAGAGACAATGAAAATTGTACTTCACTCTGGAAAGTGAAAACACGAAACGGTTGGCGAGGGACTTTCCAAACACTGTCATACTTCCACAGGAAAGAACCAGCCGTTTTAAACTTGAGACCTTTTGTAATTACTAATTAAGGACTTTTCAAGGATAATTCAGCAATATTCAAAGACTTGATTCTAGGCACTTTTAAAATTATTTCCTAGTTCCCGGAAAATTTATATCTGTTCCCTCTTCCCGGGTAAAACATGTCTGAACTTCACTTTTCCAGGTAAGGGTCCTGACGAAATGTCCCAGCATTTACACGCGAGAACTATTGTCGTTCTTTTTAACCAGAAAGCAATTTATTTTTAACCGCCTGGTCATGGCTGTAATTTATTACAGACTGAATATTACAGTTCATTACTGATCTATTTTTCTTGCGTCAGTCACTGCAAAACGTGGTGAGAATACTTCTTTCTCCTAAGATCAAGATGCAAGGCATAGTTCTCATATGCGTTGTCATAAATGTTGCTTTGTGTTTACGTAATAAAAAAATCTACATTCAAAATATAACCTATCATCTTGGTTACCCAACCAATCTCGTCCCCAAGGCCACGTGTTGTTCTTGGCACGAGAAAAGGCTGGCCAATAAGGTGTCCGCAGCGTTTTTATCCTTCCTTAGAAAAAATTAAGGAAAACGTTGTTGAGCACGTCTGTTTTTGCATTTTTCATTTGAAAAGTAAAGTAAGTCACACGTATTGTTTTTGTTATTTATAGGAAGTTGTGATAGGCCTTACAGAGCACTCAAGATTATATGTTAATGACAAAGAGGTAGGATTCTTTTTTTACTTTCGTTATGAAGTAACATTGGGCGTGTCTTAGGTTTACTAAATTATAGCATAGCTTTTAACAGGGCTGCCACAGGTCAGGAAATGGTCGGGAAAAAAATTCTTCAAGGTCAGAGAAGAGTCAGGATGTTAAAATTTGAGTCATTAGAAATTGACATTTGGAAGATTAAAATAATTTAAGACGACTGATTTAATACCATTGAAGACTGGAAGAAACATTTGGGATTAACACTAACCTCAACGATGCTTTTTTTTCCTAAATGAAGAGGTACACTTTTTTAAAACTTATCAGTCTTAATGAAGGGGCAGAATGGACAGCTGTAAGGGGAGGTTAGAAGCCGCTACTACATCTGACATTTTGTATTTGTGTGGTCAGGGAAATTATATTTTATCAAGGAAATGTCAGTGAATATATGTTGCAACCATGTTCCAACTAAATTCATGTTTTTTCCCCTTTTTTGCTATTCAGGTGTCTTCAAATTGTACTTCCTTTGCAGTACATGACGAATTCCTTCTTTTAACGACGCATGCGCACACGCTGCGTTGTATCAGCCTCTTACCAACTACTCGAGGTGGGTCCCAGTCCTTACGACATTATGAAACTCTTACTTTTACAGCTCATTATAGAACGTCAACGTCAACAAAGCCAGCTTTTAGGTACAAAAGCCAAAACTTAAGGTGTCTCGATACAGTTTTTTCTGGACCATACCAAGCATTTTCAATCAGCTTTTTAACAGCCTTGCCTTTATCGAATCGATTTAACAAATCGAATGTGGTTTAGCGTTGTATATGCTCTTATCGACAACGATATGCGTCATCACAGTGCTCAGAATTTGTTGTGGACTCACTCGGCTGCGCCTCATGAATCCACAACATTTTGACCTCTTTGATGACGCATATCGTTGTCGATAAGAGTACAGACAACGCTAAACCACATTCGATTTTTTTTTTACCGCAATATCAACGTCAAAGAAAATGATTTTTGTCAGAGTGTGACCAAGAGCATGGCACATTGACGCGAGCAGCGTTGTCTGGACTCTTATCGACAATGGCAAATTAGCCAATCAGATTGCGAGATTAGTAGCAATTGTGGTAAAAAATGTATTTCTCATGGCAGTTGGTATTTCCAAACTTTAATCCATTTCCAATTAATGGGGTAATTTTCATATCGATCCGATTAAGGGAAGACGGGTGAAAAGCTGATTGAAAGTGCGTGATGTGATACAGAAAAAAAATTGTATCAAGACACCTTAATTACATGGATAAAATAAAACCGTTAGTTAAGTATGTTGATCAATGCACGTGATGTTACTTGTTTGACTAATAATTCGTTTTTCCTCTAGGCTTACCAGTTTTAGTTGAGAACAAACCACACCCGTTAGATGAAAATATAAGACGTGTCGAGAGAGGGTCTCGAATTGTCGTGGCTGTTACACAAGATACGAAAATCGTACTACAGGTGAACAATTTATAAAAATTTCACCACTATCGTGAGCAAAACTTGGAAAAGTCAAAACTTAAAAGACATAGTTTTGTTGATCGAAGCCTTCAAATAATCGTGTTTTGCTGAAAATTACTACTTAAATGAACTTATTGCAGTGAAGCTATAAAATGGTGGTTAAATGAGTTATTGCTAAAAATAATTGCAATTTGCACTCCCTTCACCAATGCACGTTGTATCTTCATCTCGAGGCTGCACGAGTATTTTGTGCCCGATTGAAGGGTACTTAGTCATAATTTTAGCATGGCCTTGACCTCAACCCTTGAAACAATATTCTGACTTTCATTGCCTGTGGCAAATAGTTTGAGCACTGAAGGACATTTTCAAGAGAATTTTGGGTGAAAAACATCGTTAGCTCTAAATTATACGTAACAGTTCTTTTTGATTTTTCCAAGGGTTTTAGTGGTTTAGATATTCAAATCAGCGCATTAAATGCACCTTGCAAATTTTCTCTGGAGGATGATTTCAAAAACGCTTTAAGAAACCTTATGTCACTGAAAACCCACTGTAGAAACGTATTTGACAGAAAACCATTATGAATCAAGATTGACAGACGGTTGCCATGACCATTTTGCTAAAATTAGCAATCGGTGACACGTTTAACTGTTGTTGTTGTTGTTTTTGTTTTTGTTGTCAGATGCCTCGTGGGAATTTAGAGACTATTCATCCCCGATCTCTGGTGTTGTCCTATTTGCAAAAATGTTTAAATGGGTGAGTTAGCTCGGTTAAAAAATTGATTTCTATTTCGAAGATAACCTCAACAAAACGGCTCAAAGCCACGCCACGGTTAGTTTTGATTTCACTCCGAGTGGTTTAAAACAGCGCATACCTGCTTTGAGGGCACCTTGTGACAAGCAATACATTCTACCACGGTTTTTGACGCCATCCTGGTTGAGGGACAGCACAGTAATTATGGGAGAAGTGAAGAATCTTATGTCTAACAATTCATGGCAAATTCGAATTCCAAAATGTTTGTGAATTACAAACTAAAGATGGGGGGTTAAAGGAGCTCAGTGATCAAATTTGAGGGCTGTAACGTCCCTAGAAAAACAGTAACTAAGGCTCCGTCCGGTCCGCACTACGGAGAAATTTGTAAACGGCATTTTTACTCTGATGTTTTTTTCCGTCCACACTACTCCGGAGAAATTTGAAAACACAACAACTACCGGTCATTTTGGATTTGTGTTTGAGAAAAACTCGAGCAGGGAAATCACGTGATTATCGTGACGTCATCGTTTTCAAAAAGCTCCGTTTTCAAAATGTTTTCCGATCTGTCCTCACCAAAACGCAAAGCCGGCGTTTTCAAATTCCTCGGGTTTGAAGAACGTTTAATTTCGAAAAGCTCCGTTTTCAAATTTCTCCGGCGTAGTGTGGACAAGGCCTAAGGTTTTCATTGTTATATTGACTGCAAATGCTACGGTTCTTGGGAAAATCTAGAAACATTTGTGTGGAAAATTTAAAATGCGAGTCCTCACCTCGCAGCACAGCTGTTTCCTTCAAATTTGAGTCGATAATATCTTCTACTATAGATCATTACCTTGACAATCATAAGAACTTCAGAACGTTTATCATCCTCAAATTGTTGGGCATAGAACTTCCAACTTTTCGTTAAGATTACAGTAAATTTTCTTTGTTTGGCCCTTCACCAAGATGGCGCCAGAAACCGTGGAGGGGTCCACTGAAAAGCGCTTTACTTAGACAAAGAACATTGCAATTTACTTTTATTATCGTTTCAGTTTCCTGCTTTCAGTGCGCCAGTATTTTTCTCTTGTGTGATTCTTTGTTGCGCTCTTCTTGATTTCAGTTTAAATTATCGAGATGCCTTTTTAGCCATGCGACGGCATCGGATCAACCTTAATTTAATACACGACCATAACTCTAAGGTGAGCATTCTTGTAAATAATACACAGAACTGAACGTAAATATACACTGGACAGCTCGGTAGTAAAGCCTTGATTTATTTTATATATTACGTTTATAGAAGGAGAACTTCTCAGAGTCTCTATTATTTCTATTTTCTTCCACAACGTGTTCAATCCCAGCCCCGAATATGTTCGTTTGAACGTTTGTTTGTTCGTTCGTTCGTTCGTTCGTTCGTTCGTTCGTTCGTTCGTTCGTTCGTTCGTTCGTTCGTTCGTTCGTTCGTTCGTTCGTTCGTTCGT